GAGATACAAGTAGATCTACCATTCGATCCAGCAATCCCATTACTGGGCATCTACCCAAAAGAACAAAAGACATTCTATAAAAAAGACATCTGTACTCGAATGTTTATAGCGGCACAATTCACAATTGCAAAGATGTGGGAACAACCCAAGTGCCCATCAATCCATGAGTGGATTAATAAAATGTGGTATATGTATACCATGGAGTTCTACTTAGCCACAAAAAACAATGGTGATGTAGCACCTTTTGTATTCTCCTGGATAGAGCAGGAATGCATTCTACTAAGTGAAGTATCCCAAGAATGGAAAAACAAGCACCACATGTACTCACCAGAAAATTGGTTTTAACTAATCAACGCCTAACAACATTCACTGGGTGTCGGGCAGATGGGAGGGGGGAGGAGGGGTTGGGTATATTCACACGTAATTGAGTGCGATGTGCACCGTCTGGGGGATGGACATGCTTGAAGGTCTGACTCGGGTGGGGCAAGACCAATATACGTAATCTAAACATTTGTACTTCCATAATATGCTGAAATAAAAAAAAAAAAAAAGACTGGAAGGCAGGTCAGGTCTAGGTGGAAACCTACGTTTGATGGTTACACTGAGTTGGGGGCAGCCTCTGTGCTGGGGGTATTCCACTGAGGACAGAAGGAAGCCCCTGCTGCAAGAGCAGGGCTCCAGGGCAAGTAGACTTCCTGAGGCCCACCCTGAGGGCTATGCACATGGAAGCCCGAGTTTACTCAGGCTGGAGTCCAGCCTCCTGCTGCAGCCCCCACCTGCATTCTGCGTGAGGTCAGGCTCCACACACAATACTCTCGTTACCCTGGCGAAGCCATTTTAGTACTCACAGACCTGTCCATTAAAGTCATCATCAGTGTCTCTCACACACTGGGAAATCTACTTGAAATATAAACATTACCTTTTCTCACTTTTAAAAAAAGGCAACAGTGCTTGCTTTGGCAGCACATATACTAAAATTGGAATGATACAGAGAAGATTAGCATGGCCCCTGCGCAAGGATGACACGCAAATTCGTGAAGCGTTCCATATTTTTGACGGTTGCACAACTCCATGAATGCACAGAAACCACTGAATCGTATGCTTTGAAAGAGCGAATTTTGGCATGTGAATTAAATCTAAATACAGATGTTACAAAAAAAAAAAGGCAACAGATTGACTTTGATGTATTTCTCTTGTGTGAATTCTGATTTCAGTTTCCCTCATTGTCATGGCTCAAATTGGGTTGACAAGAGCCCTCCTTGGAGTCCAGCTTAGCAAATCTGCACAGGGAGCGCCAGGTTCTCTTCTCTTTCGTGAAGATGGTTCCTTGCTAAACAGTGACTAGACTGGACCCTGGCCCTGCACCACATTCTGATTTACCTGTTGACGTGAAAACTGGGATTTGGAAAATAACACCTTGGCTCTTCTCTGGACTTTACACTCCTAGAGGACAAGGACTGTGTTTTAGTCATCTTCCCATGTAGAGCATAGTAGGTACTCAAGACGTTTTTCTGTGGAATGGAACTATTTCCTGTGGTTTTTGATGCTACTTCCCTAATTTGGGGTTCTCCTCTCAACCCAATTTGCATGAAGTGTCTTTGAAACACTTACATCTGTTGAAAACTAAAGAGATCACAGTATACCAAGTCTCCCCTCCCAGCATGTAAGAGGTTTCCATGTGAAAATGCCTTTACATATATTAAACTGCAGCTAAAAGATTTGAAGTTTCAGCTTGTATCATTTCATCAGGAATTTCTTAAGGGCACTTGGCCTAACACCCTGTTTTTGTTCTAGATTTTCCTACCCACCATAAGGTCGTATTAATTTTCCATAAACAGATTCTGGCACAAGTCAGTGTCCCCTTTCCTGGACTGTGGAAGAGATGGTTCTCTGGCCACGTCCTAACATCAGACTGTCCTTATTGAATAGACACACAGATGTCTGATTACACGTTGTTTTCAAATTTAAAGCATTACAACAGCCTTATATTCATTGTGACAAGGGCTTTGATGTCTGGTCAAGATAAGGCACAGCTTTTCCTACAATGGGTTACATGTCATTTCCACATTTTTAGCAAGGGAAACTTTCGGTCTCCAAAAATTTAGTCATAAAAAGTGACTAAATGGGCAATGAGAAGAAAAATCACATTGAAGAACATGATCTATTTAAACTTACTTTTTTATTATCATTTTTTCCAGTTACCCAGCATGCCACAATCTGATTGCTGACCTGGATGGAACAGAGTGAAATAAATGATTTACAAAGAGATATTTACATTCATCTGATTTATACTTGATATGCCACAATGCACCGCGACCTTCCCAGGGTGACACCACCTCAGACTGCAGTGGGGCTGTTCCTCATCTCCACATGCGTCGTCCCGGCACCAAGGACGGGCTGGAGCTGAAGTCTGACACTAGATGAGGAGAGCTCCTGGTGTATGTTTTCAGAAATGGCTTGAAGTTACTATGTTTTTAAATCTGCTCATTTGTATGCTAGGTGGTACATATGAATTTCAATAAATGAAGTTTTTAAAGACTTGAATTGTAATGTTTCCTTGATACCTTGTAGTGATGAACAAAACACACTGAAAAGGCACATATTTTAACTAGGCCAAAGTGTATTAAAGAGGAAATTTTTCCCTGCCATTCATTTTTCTTTCTCTTTTCTGAGCTAGGTAGCATCTTTCAGCTTTATTTGCCTTTAATCAACATCCCATAAGACTCCATTGTTATTTAGCATCTTACCAATTTGTGTACAATCAGGAGACACCAGGAAGCACTACGCATTATTCTTTCCATTCTGTTAACAACAAAAACAGACAAAAAAGCATCTTTGGCTTGGTGGTGTCAGATTTTTTCTTCAGTATGCAGTATTTGAGAGGAGCCTAAAAACATACTTAGTGAAATTAGAAAATTTACTTAGAGTATATTAAATACCTATACACAGATCATTATTTTAGTCTAAAATAGTATTTCTACTATACACAGTTAAGCCCTCAAATGCTTTAAAGTAATAAAAATGGACACTGAAAGTTTTGTGTTGTATTTGAGAATGACAACGAACCACTGAAGGCAAGGCTGCAGCTGGACAAGTCCCTGACCTTAGGCTATTCTCCTGGCCAGTGATCCTGGCCATGATCATGTCAACACAGATCGAAGGTCACCATATTCCAGCCTTGCCTCTCAGAATCCATGTGGAATAGGCTTTGGAGGCGGCGACATGATACACACACAGAGACCACTCAAGTCTCTTGAGCATGTAAAAGGTTCAAGCCTGAAATAGTAGAACTTCTACTCAGATTCAGAAGGTTTTGATTTCGTCAAATGTGCTAGACATAAAGGCTGTCACATAAGATTTTACTTGTCCTTAATTCTGTTTTAGGTATACTGTGAATAAATTATACAATATTCTAAAAATAGCACCTTTAAAGAATTATAGAGGTCACTTTATTTTAGCCTCCTGGATCTGTCAAGCCCAGTGGTTTTGAGAGAAGAGCACATGTAAGAATGCCCTCAGATCTGGCTGTGTGACATACATGTACATGCTTGACTAACTCTGGTCCCAAAAGCCATTCCTCTAGCTGGCTTAGTCATAGGAGCAAAGCCAAGTTTCTACAATAGTAGCTGTATGAGGTAAAATCAGAAAAAGGCCCCATCCAAAATGATTCAACATAAATCAGATTGCAGTCCAGCCATCCTACTCTCTATTACCTATGTCTAAGTTTGTTAATTTACCATGAAGTGTTAAAAATACACTCTAGGAAAGGAAGTATGCAGAGCAGTACATTATCAGGAAGACATTGATGATGACCTACACTCCTTAAGGAATTCTGGGTCCAAACCATTTGTTGTAAAGATTATTAGATCTGAACAATCTCCAAGGTCTAAGACCTACTCCGTCCCTGGCTTCACAGTAGATCTGTCCTAAACCCACTGCTGAGAGGTGAGCGTCTCCCCTTTGGAAGTAGCCTTTCGTCAGAGTTTGTACAACTGCACTGTTTCCATTTTATTGACGTAAAAATAATCCCATGTGTGTTTTGAGCTATAAGGAGTTTACAGATTTTCCTATCACATTTTATACAGGGTAGATTAATGCCAGGTGGGGCTATTAAAAGTTTTTTTTTTTCAGAAAAGAGTAATTTTCTGAGATGACAGAACCACATCCAACAACAACAAACAGAGAAGTAGCAGATTGACATAGTGCTTTATTTAAGCTGTCTGTACGAAGGAAAATAATGTGCATCCCTATCATATACGTGTAAAAATACTAAGGATGTACAGTGTACAAAAACAGTTTCTTGTAGTTATTTCACATCCTTGTGGGTCATATACTTAAGGAAATAAACAGTTTTAGTATGACCAACAGTAATAGTAATACAGTTTCTTGGGTTCATATTTGCATCTGCTTAAAATCCTTAACCAGATGACTAGATCTTGCATGGATCTAATGAAAGAACTAGCAAGGTCAAGAAATGTCACAAACTATAAAGCTACAGGGAGGTAATTCAATTACCAATTTAGAGGTTTTCTTTTTATTTAAATAAATACTTTACATTTCATGCTTGCCTGTAATGCACTACCAGGAGCAAGATTAGGAAATTCTACTGTAGACAGTACAAACAGTAGCAGCAAAGTGTGTACATTGAGGTGTAATATATAGACCCTGCAGTTAGTAAGGAAGGCCCTTACTTTTGTACTCTAGGAGAAGCAAGTGGCCCCTGCAAGAACAGTCAGCTTTAAGAAGCCGGAAATCAGGTATGGGAAATGGAAAACAATACTGGAATAATGCTACAGAATTAGTGTAGAAAGCAAAGCTGAGAGCGACCCTGCCAACAATCCAAGCGGAAATAGCCAATTTCCTCCAAGATGGCTGCATTATGACAAGAGTTCAAACTTCATGACAGTACCAGCTGGAGTCCACAAAGTCTGAACTGCATTCTCACAGAATGATTCCAGGTTTCAGGCCGTTCCACCTGCCAGAACCCAAAACTACAGCTATGGGCAACACAAGGGAAGTTTCAGAAATCTCCTTCTCTGCACACTTCTGTTTTTCTATTGTTCCTCCATGTTAGCTGACAGATCTGGGAGTGAAAGAAAGGGATTCTCAAAATCGAAGCCAAGAAAACACCTTGTGTGATACCAACTGTGTCCCAGAGGGGAGAGGTGACCGAGCCCCGGGCATGGCTAGGGGCTGAGCGCCAGCTGTGAGGAGTGGCCAGCCTGGGGCACTATCAGTGCTGGTCATTAATCTTCAGGAAGTGTCCTTGGCCAAGGTCATGGAAATCACCTTAAGATTTGGGGGAAAAACCAAAACGACAAAAAGCTATGTGCTTAGTGTTCGGTGTCATGCTCTCCCTCTGAAGGAGTAAGTGCTCTGAACTTCAGCCAGTCTCAGCTTTCTTCTCTTCCTCTCGCCAGTTTCTCACATAATGGATGCAAGACAACTTAAAAGACATACCTTCTAGTCTACTTTCTTGTCAAAGTGAAACGTTCAACATAATTCCAAGTGAAAAAAAAAAGGTAAGCTATGTGTGTAAGTCAGAATGAACTACCATTTAACTGTAACTTCCTATTCGGTACTAAGGATGAACTTCACTCAGGTAGAAATATGAAAAATTAGGATAAAATCTACGTCTAAATATGTCTTAGCTGCCTTAGTAAAATGCCCTTTAACCCCCGTCAGTCCTAGTGGCCTGCCCACCGCCAGCAGTGGTTTCATAGCTAGAGATCCACACTTCCAGCGTCAAGAGGCTAAGACATCTGCATATGAATGTGATTCATCCTACGTAGAAAGTCACTTGCTCTTTCATACAATGCAATCATAATACTACGTCATGCTGTAGTCTTCCATTTGGGAGCTGTCAGATAGTTTAACTAAAATACATTTCCATGATCACTCCACGGAGTGGGAAGGCCTTCTGTTTGCCGTAAGAATGGCCCCCAGCCCCTTGGACTTCATAGACTGCTTTGGAAAATGTCAGCTCCTAGCACCAAAGGGTTTAATCTGAAGATCATCATTAATGAAGGAGAAAGATGAGGTTTGCATACATGTCCCCTTTCAGTGAGAAATGTTGGAATTTGGGGACATGAGTATATACAGAAAAAGAAAAGCTGGAGGTGTTTTCTTTTTGTTTTTTTTTCCCTGATGGCTTAATTCAGTGATAAATGTACCATGATCACAATAAACACACCAGGTTCTTAACCTTTACTGCCTACTTTCTAAATACTCAAGATGTGTTCATTTTGCCAAGTAAAGTTCATTTCTTACCATCATTCAGGTTTCAATTTTCTTCATTACATTATGTTGCCAGGCTGTCACAACGTTTCAATTCTCAAATGAGCAAACATCAGTTTTGCTCAACTTCAATTGGTTTCATTTAACCCCTTGGCCTGAGTAGTTGGGGATTTTCTCATTTTTAGCACCAAGGGGTTGAATGATAGCATCTCTTCTCCCAAAGCCAAATTCTAACACATATACCATTTCAGAGCCTTATCAATTTTTTTTTTTTTTACATAGGAGAAAAAGTGCATGATTCTCATCAGCGTGTACATTCCTTGCACATGGGTCAAAAGAAACTGCAGTAAGTCTATTTTATGTAAGTTGGAGCTGCATTTGCTAACATGACATATAATTCTCATCACTAAAAAATAAATACTACTGCAATATAAACAAAATCGTAAAAGGACATTCAAAGTTTTAACATCTGAGTTTTAAAAGCTAATTCACATAGAACTGAAAGTAAAAAATTAAAACAAATAAGGCAAACACCTGTTTACCTTGGTGTACGAATTTTGGTGAAAAGCAGGATCATTATACCTGTCTACATTCTTCAGCCATCAGAGGTGATAAATATCAAGAAGGAAAAAGGTTTCCAAGCACAGGGGAAAAATGCTCTCTGGCGCAAACTGTATCATAAGACTCTCTAAGTGACGCAGACTGCGCATACGCCTTCACGTCTTGGCAGAACAGTGTTCGTTTGCCCACAATTGCCCGTGAAGTCTTGACGTCCACGTGTGATACCAGGCCTCCTCCGCAGTATCCACCAGGAATTTAAAATATATGTGTATCTCAACAGTTGTTCAGTCCTTCTCTCAAATGCTTCCTAATAAATTCCAGCCAAATCTTAGTGATATATGCCTACTTTAAGACTTGATCTGATAGGCTTTACTAAAGCTTTGCATATGCACATCACCACCCTTCCACAATTGCTTGTTCTGAATTATAAACTAAATCTTCTTAGTCTAATTAGTTTTTGATTTATCTTCTAGAAAGTTAAAAAATGTACCTAGAATCAGTGTATCTCATTTAGCCTTCACTGTTAGGGAAAAACAAAAACTAAAAGATCAAAAGATGACTATTGGTGCACAAATGAACAATGGTGGGCTCATGACTTCCAAAGATTGTAAAATTACTTCTTAAAGTTGCTATAATAGTAAGACAGTAGCAGCAACAGCATGAGACCTTAGACTGAGATACAATTTCATGCAAAAACAAAAATCGGAGTGTGTTTGCGTATATGTGTGTTTTCATGTGGGTGAAAGGTGGTGAGGAGTGAAGACCCTTGGCTGGTCTGGGATGTCGGAAGGTGCCCCTGCTACCTGTAAGAGCTAGGACTGGTGGTGATGTCCAGGAATCATTTTCAGTAACAAATCTAAGATGACAGTGAAGTAGCAGAATGAAAGAGACTTATTCTCGTCCACTTGCAGAGTAGGAAAATTGAGGGAAATGCGGCCGCCTCTCATTGTCCATGCAGTCCATACCATCCTCATCATCTGTGGGCAGGAAACAGCTATTTTAATTTTATACTTATTTTTTGCATCATTATCTCTGTAAAAGTATTTTTTTTTAACTCTGAAGATAGGAAAGATTAACAGAGGCAGTAACTCCCATAAACCTGTGTTTATCAGAAAACATATAGTAATTATACTTCAAAAATTTTCATGATTTTCATTATGATTTTCATAAACACATGGTCTATGAAGAAATAATACTATAAAATCATCTTCAAGACATCAAAATTTCAAGGCTCAATGAAATTGGGAAAAATACTATTAAAGAAATCATATTTTTTTAATGAGAAGGAACAATCTTCAATTACCTTTCATTCCATTTCGTGAACCCAAGTATGTCAAAATTATAGAAGTAAGTGAAACCTACAGCACCCAAAGTGTCTATAAAGACTGCATTAGCAAGTGACCGTATTTTTTCTTCACAGTGCTTCAGGGTGATGACAAAGTAAAGCTTCCTATGAAACTTTATTCAACATCTAACTTCTGGCTTTACTCACTGTTCCCAATTTTGCTGATAAAACTTTAAACTAGCAAAAGGAGACTAAGTGAAAAAAAAAGAGGGGAAGATGTCAGCATCTAAGTCCTAGTTCATCAAGAAACCGGCAGGGAGAAGACGTTTGGAAGGCTGCCACAGAGGCTGCCGACAACCAAGGCGCCCCTCCCTGCACGTCCCCTCCCCCGTACGTAAGAGGTCGCAAAGGATCGCGCGCCCTCTTCTCCTGGCTGCTCTGGCTACGACCCGCACCGCCAGGACGCGCTGCCCTGCACGTGGCCCCTGTGCGTCTGCGCTGGCCGAGCGCCGTTCAGCCCCACGGACGGCCAGAGCCCTGAACACGGTCCCCTCGGGGAGGCAGTCCATTTCCAATCTCCCCTGCTCTGCTCCAAGCTCACTTCATCCTATACTGTCCTGCAGTCAAAATACATGAGTTTTTCAAATACTCCATCTTTTTTTCTTCAAGCAAAAAAAAAGAAATTTCATTTCCTCAAATCCACATTGGAAGCATATTACCAATTCTTTTACTTAATACTTTCCTGGCCTCTCCAGGGAGCATCAAGGTGTGTAATGAAAGGAAGCACGCAGGCCAGATCCCGCTGCGCTGGGGCACTGACCCCGTCACCCGACCACGGAGGGTGCTTTGCCTTCCCCTTAGTCTGAAGAAGCAGCAGCATTTCTTTTCCTTTCTTTCCTCACTGTTCTTTTTAGTATTTGATTCCCAATGCAGTAGGTTCTAAGAAATGGGATCAAGGAGCCATTAATAAAAATCTCTGACCTCTAATTTACCAGAAATATCCCTGTTCTAGGTAGGAATCAATCCGTCAAGACACATCTGTGGCTCCCTGGTCCTGCAAGACACCTAACCGAGGGCGTCTCCCTCTCTGCAAACAGACCACGGTGAACACAGTCAGCGTTTCTAGAGACTGTGGGAGTTGGGGGAAATCTCTGCCTCCTCATAAAATATTGGGTCCAGCGTTTGTACCAAGCAAGTCGCATGTATCTTCTAGAGAAATACCTTCAGAGTTATTTTTAGCTACACTAAAGATGGAAGGAGCTGGGAAATGAAGGAAGGCATGTCTGCTGTTGAGCCCCGAAGTACGAAGACTCTCTAGGAAAAGGCAGCTGAAATCTTACTGTTCAGATTCTGACATGTGTCAGTCACATTTCAAAGAAACAGTTTTCCCCACTAACAGCTTTGTTTTGCCGAGTGCTTCTGCACAGCAAACGCGTGGCGAGCCCTGGACAGCCAGCGTGGGAAACCCGGTGCTACCCTGCCTCAGCCAGTGAGGGACAGAAGCTGCCCTGGCTCCCGGGGCCGGGAGCCTGGGGCCCAGGGTAGCCAGGCTCTCAACAGGGGCAGGTGCCGCACCTCCTTTCGGAGGAGCAGGAGCTCTTGCTGGATGTCAGCTGAGAATTAAAAGAGAGCTTTCACCTGTCACTTCAGTAACAAATTCATCACGCTTCTGAATATAAGAACTCTAAATTGCACAGATAACCCTGCGAGTCCCACACCTTGATACTCTTTAAAGCCAATGATGTCTCCGTCACCCTCAATCACTCTGGCTCCCTTCTGTTGTCAGGCTTGGTGACAGTGAGGTGCAAATATCTGATCACGGCCTGAAAGGAGCTGCCAGCCTGGGTGGGGGCTGCACCGGTAGGGGGCTGGAGGTGGTGGCGGCTGACGCTGAGTCAGAGCCTGTCACCCCAGCCAACGCACACAGGTCAGTTCCTGCTATGAAAGGACGTTCATAGGGTCAAAGATGATAATGAACATGAACTATGTTCAAAAAAAACCACATCTGGAAAAAGAAAAGGATTAACCCTACATGTTATGTTACGTCTGAATCCACAGATCCAAGGAGCATCGGTTGCCTAATTTTCTTAGCGCATTTAACAAATGTAATTATATGGCAGTAAAAGCTACCAGATCTCAAAGAAAATCTCTTTTTCTGTAAGAGGAAGGCAGAGGACCATTAATGGATATAACGAAAGACGACACATTCCAAAATCTGTTCAATTAATTAACACCAGTGAGGACAATCTGGCATGTTACTGCAGCTGTTTGTAGAAAATGGAACATTTTGCCTTTCTAACTGCTGATTTGTTCTAAAAAAATAACTCCATTCTGTTTTATAAAGCAAGGTGGCAAGTGGGAAGACAATTGCTAACGAATGGTACTACTGTGGACTTTTATGAACAAAACCTCTGTGTGTCAGCAGTTAGGGAACTGCAACAGTTTCTTACCAGCACTGCTGTCCAAAGCTGCGAGAAGAAAAGATTATGTTAAATGTAATCACAGTTCAAGGTTTCACTGATTCTCCTTTTTCTACCCCTTAAGGGAATCCAGGATATATCCAGGGACTGTCAAACTAAAAACACTGCCCCTGTGCCCTGAAAGAACCCCGGAGCTGCCGAGCACAGCCCCGTGGCACCTGCTGGCACCGAGCGGCAGGAGCGGCTGCTGGACAGAGGCGCCAGCAGCCCTGCCAGCGCTACCCTTGCCCTCCACGCTCTGCGGAGCTCTTTCATCGACTTCCCTTCTAGACACCCTGGACAGGGACGCCAGACAGCAAGCCCGCAGTGCCCTCCCTACCCCAGACTGTGGTGTGCCCTGGCAGACACAGACGACATCGCTGGGCTCTTGTTTGTGCACCATCCAGGGGCCAGTGGCAGGGCAGGGCCACACCCCACTTTTGACACCCACAAAAGCCAGCCTTTCATGGGCCCGCAACTGCAGGTGGACTCTGATAATCACATCTTGGAAGTTTCTGCAACGGCTCAATCTAGACAGGGACCTATTATCCTGTGAAGGCACTGAGGTCTTGGGGCTTCTACTGCAGGACCCACATTTGAAATGACATATGTTCTTTTAAGAACACAGCTGCTGTTAGTGATAAAATATGACATGCCAGGAAAAACATACTTGATTTATATTGTTGATCAGTGAAGCTGAGGAACTAGGATCAAATGATGTTCTAGAAACCGTGCTGGGGTACTTAAAACACCTTCTAACACCTCATGACAGAAGTTGTAGCAATTCGGCAATAAAAGGCACACGAATGACAAATTCTCATCAGGACAGGGGATAGAGTTAGGGATAAGGCAGGTAAGATGAATTCTGAAGAGATTCTGGTCCTTGGCAGCTAAGGCTTTGAAATTCAAGCCAGTCATGAAAAATAACTGACAAGTAAGGAGACGTGTGTAACCGTTTCTAATCTATCTTACTTAGCACCAAATCCATTTTGAAACTGTTTTGCTGGGACCTTGCTGGCCTCACATTTCCAGGCACCACATCCAGTCAGCCCTGGCCCCCACCCACGCCCACTCCTTTCAGCTGGGTGCTCACTGTGCTGGGCCTATTGTCACCCATCATGGAGTGGATCACAGCACAAAGTATCACCACGGAATGGTTAATCTGGTGCTAGAACAAAACTGAGAACAGGGAGATTCAAACCTGTAAAAGTCTAGGTGCCTTTCCTGAAGAGATGGCTTCTCAGGCACAGCAGGGCAAAGATGGGCCCCCAGAGAATACCCAGCCTTGCACTCTCTTCTCCAGGGGACAAAGTGGCCAGCCATGTCCCAGAGCTAGTAAGTAAGTGGTAGAGGCAGGTTCCTCAGGTCTCAGTCCCAGCTTTTTCAACCTCACTCTATCTCCCAAACTGGGATTTTGCGTTTAGTGTTCTGAAGTAAAATATCTCCACGTGGCTTTGCATTTACAGAGCCTACCTGTTTCCGTGACTTTCAAAGTAACATGTTTAGTTGTCCTAAAAAGAAGTCTACAAATGCCAGAGGCTGGGCCAGATGTGGTGGCTCATGCCAACACTTTGGGAGGCCGAGGTGGGAGGATTGGGTGAAACCAGGAGTTCAAGACCAGCCTAGGCCACATACTGAAACCTTGTCTCTACAAAAAAATAAGATAAATTAGCCAGGCCATGTGGGTACACACACCTGTAGTCCCAGCTACTCCGGAGGCTGAGGCAGGAGGAGTGTTTGAGCCCAGGAGTTTGAGCAAGGCTGCAGTGAGCTATGATCATGCCACTGTACTCCAGGCCAGACGACAGAGCAAGACCCTATCTCAAAATAAATAAATAAAAAATAAATAAAAGAAATGAAACTGACTCAAAGAGGTGCACAGAGATATGTTCAAGACCTTCCTATCCCAATGCCCACTGTGGCTATCAAGTGGGGAGGCCAGCCTGGGCCTCCTCTTGGCCCTGAAGCCCCAGGTCCTTACCATATTCTGCTTTTTCATTCCTCTAGAATTATCAAAGGCCCACACGGGACAGACAGCTAGCTGGGAGCTGGGGTTAGCAGTGAATAAGACAAACGAGATCCTTCCTCTCAGAGATATAGAACTTTCTAGTGGCAGAAACAAGATAGTAAACAAAGAAACAGATTAACCAGAAAAATGCTGGCAAGGAAAGGAGCCAATATAGGGAAGTAAGAGTCGGAGGGACCACTGTCAGACTGCACTGTCCTTTGGACTAGGAGGTCAAAGGCAGCTCTCTGATGAAGTGACGCTTAAGCTCAAATCTGAGGAATAAGAAAGAGCCATTCATGCAGATATCCGGGAAAAAGACCATTCTAGGCAGACAGACGAGCAAATGCTGGACCAAGTCCCAGGGCATGGTGAAGCCTGGCATGTTCAAGGCACGGCTGGAACGCTGGGACAGTGGGGGGAAGATGCAGCGGGAAGAAGCCGGAGAGGTGGATGGGGCCCGCGTCCGACAGGGCTGTGCAAGCCCGTGTGAGCACTTTGGATCTGGAGTGCAATGGGAAGCCACTGGAAGCTTTCAAGCAGAGGAATGATACGGTCTGATTACAATCAGGGTTATGATCAAGTGACGGGGACGGTGGGAACTGCCCACGGGCCAATCCAACAACCGCTGGTGTTACCCAGCAGTTCGGGCAATTATAGCCCTAACGATACAGTCCGTGCTGGGGCCACAGTCGAGGCCTGTGCCCATTGTTTGTACTCATACAGCCCTTAGTTACTTGCCCATGACTCCACGGGCTTTCCAACACTGTCTTTGGCTCTTAATGACTCTAAAATTCTAACAGTGGCATAAGACAGAGTGGACGCTCACTGCCCCCCCACAGTTGATACCCTGTGAGTGGCCCACTCAACACAGTGACATTTCACAACTTGCCAGGGCCTCCGCCAAGCTGGTAAGCCTTGCTACTGGCTGCGGGTGACGCGAACTACGGGACCTTGAGCGAGCTTAACTTAGCTCTGGGTTTCAATTTCATCACTTATAAAATGAAAGTTAGGAGGTTCTTAACTTCTTGCCAATTTAAAGAAAGGAAGAAAATGCACAGATGCACACATAATTATATGCTTAATTTCAGGGTATTTGCAGTCCCTTTGCTACCAGGCCATGAAGCCCAGATTGAGACTTTTTTCCTAGATGACTCCCAGTTTGCTGTTCGACACTAACATCTGTTGACTGCAACCACAGCTGGAATCTCACTGAACTCCCACCTTCCCTCTCAGGGATCCTCCGTGTTCATGAGCACTGTCAACTACCTGCCTTTTAAAAAGAGATGAGAAGAGAAGAAATGTAGGAAAGTAAATAAAAGAAAAAAGGAGAAAAACTAACATGACACTACTGTGTGAACCAAAAAATGTGTGACTTGAAGAATTCTTTAAGCTATCCAAATATTGCCCCAAAACTGAATCTCATCCTCATTCCTAAATTAATGATGACAGATACAGACCTTGGTCGGCAGGAGAAGGTCTCCCAGACCTTGATCATTCATACATTACCTTCATAATTTTGCCAATTCTGGGCTCCTACTTACTTAATAGTTTTAAAGTTCACTGTGGGAGACTAGTAAGGAAGGGCTAGTCTGTAATTCCATCTAAAATTTCTCTCTATATAATTTTTCTTACCTAGAAAAGCTTTCTCGCAGCTACCTGTCTTTTGATATTTCCACATTGGAAATCGTGCATTTTAAAATGGAATGGAATAAGTCACTGTAGAATTTGATCTTGAAAATACCAAATGATCTTTTAAAAAGACTGTTTTCTTCAACCATATTAGAATGTAACCAACTGTCTTCCAGATGTACTTACATTTTTCAGGTGGTGTTATTGTAATAGTCTGAGCTGTAAATTCTTCATCAAAATACCTGGTATCTGTTTCAGATGTTACTTGAGGCTTAAAAGGAGGTACAAGCTATAAGAAGAAAGAAAAAGAATTATGTTAACTGATTTCAATTTAGGAATGTTCATTTTTAGGACAAAACTAGAGAACAAGTCACTAAATGAACAGTACAAAAATCTCCAATGCTGAGTCACTGTGTAAGGTGGATGTGGTGTTTGGCTTCCCAGTCAACAGTCTAAACACAACATGGGTCCTTAGTTGCTCTGGATAAAATTTGATAGATTACATGAAACAACAAAGGAGAACCACAGAGCAGGGCAGGAAGGAGGCATTAAAAAATCTGTCCTATTTTTTTTCTCAATAACAAACATACATACAAAACCCTGTGGATGGATACCACTGTGACAAGATGTAGGCTCTTCCTAGTGTCTAGCTGAAGAGGTTATTATTAAAAATACAATTTAATAATAAAGGTATTCTGTAGGTCACGGATAGATGCCGCCTTCATGCATTGTAAGAACTGTACCTTTATACTTTGCAGAGAACTAGAGAACTCTGCTTATTTGAGATAGGAATTAATACCTGCCCCTCCCCTGGAACAGGAATTCGTAGCAGCCTCTGAAGTTACATGCAAAATTTTGTCCACAGCTTTCATCAGATCTTCAAAAGGGACCAAGACCCAAAAAAGACTAAGAGTAACTACTCTAGGATTGACAGAGCTGGACTCATGCACGCAGGTCCTGCCTCGAGCATGGGGGTGGGAGGGGTGTTGGGTTGCTGCAGACTGAGCCCCATGAGCCTCCTCCGCTGGGAGAGAGCAGGCGCAGGGAAGGTGCTTCTCAGGGCCCTGGCCTCAAGAGACAAGTGGCGCCCAGTCCCAGGGCCGGGAGACAGAGTACATGCTCTGATGAGTATCAGTCAGAACAGGAGAGGCCGCTTTTGGAATACAATTCTCAAAGGGATAAGAAGTGGAAAACAGAATGACAGAAATTAGTATGTTTTATAAAAATTTTTACAGAAACAGAAATACACAATTGGCTTTAGATCAATACATTTCTCCACTCTGTCACCAAATTATGTTAAATAATAAAGGCAAAAATCTTTAAATTATTCTCTAGACACACTACATTTTTAAAAACCAGGGGATGAGCAGTGTTAGATGCATGTTGTCAAAGTAAAGGAGCACACAGCAGTTGCAGCACCCGATGCAGAGCATTTTTAACCTCCTTCAATCATTCTCTCTGTTTGCCCCCAGGACACAGCTCCTCGGAGGTCTCCATTGCTAGCAAGCACTCTTCTGGGGAAGAACCAACTCCAAGTTCCACGCATCAGCTGAGAGTGGCTGCTGAAGCACACAATGGCTCCTCTCTCGGCTTCCTTAATCCCCCACCTGGAACAAGCTCCTCTGCCAGCGGTGACGAGAACCTCCGCTGCTCTGTTAGGGTCACTGAACACAAGCGTGCCACTGCACTGGCGGGACTCTCCCTCTTCCATTCAGGTAAGCGCGTCCCTTCACCAGCATCACGCACGTGCGCACAGAACACCACAGGTGATACAGACTGTAACAGTTCTGGTTTCCCTTTTAGAAAACTTAGGGGGTAATTTTTTCCTTCCTACCTGGCAGGAAATTGGGAGACTGAGATTCTGGTTGGGATGTTGGGAGTTTCCTTCTGACGTACTATTCTACAGATGTTCACAAAATAGGTCTTCGTTTTTCCAATCAAAAGTTAAACACGAGAAATTCTTTTGGCCAAAATGGGCTTCTCTTGGGCACTGGGAGGAGGTTTTGCTTACTTCGGCCCTTATCATCTGCTTCCAAAAATTTAAATCTGCCTTCAAGTTAGGAGAAAGCTCCTGTCCTTGTAGATGAGAGAGACAATGGTCATCTGTAACTTTAAAAAACTGAAACATATCTTAAAACAGTTTTCAAAAGATTACAGGTGAGATTAAAATAGTCTCTGTTTCAAAGATCCCTTTATTACCAAGGTCTTTCCGGACCTTCCTACGTCAAACAATTACACTCCCCATCACTTTCTACTCTCACGCTGTTTTTCTTCAAGACTTTTCAACATCTGATACACAGACACGTACACATACATAGACAGACATAACACACATGTATTTGTTTACTGTCACCATCATTGTACCTCACCCCCAATACAAGTTCCATGGGGGCAAGGACTTTTTTTGAAAAATAAAATTTTTTATTAAGAGATAGGGTCTCACTCTGTCACCCAGGCTGGAGTCCAGTGGTGTGATCATAGTTCACTGTAACCTCAAACACCTGGGCTCAAGTGATCCTCCTACCGCAGCCTCCTAAGTAGCTGGGACTACAGGCCTGCAACTTATTGCTGATTATAGTCACTTTGTTGTACTATCAAATGTTGTTCATTCTAACTATCTAACTATATTTTTTCACCCATTAACCACCACCCATTTTCAGTTTTTGTAATGTGGTATCATTCTCCAAATATCCTTAGTAATCTGTTTCTATGTTTGTATTTCTGAGATTTATCACTCTTCATATACATAAATGCAAGTTTTTCATTTTTTACTCTTGAATAGTATTCCACTGTAAGACCAAGAAAAAATTTTGCATTTAATCTATATTATCATTTTGAGTAGTACCATCATCTTAACAATCTTAAGTATCCAGTCCATAACCATGAGATATCTTTCCATTTATTTATGTCTTCTTTAATTTCTTTCAGCAATGTTTTGTATAGTCTACAGTGTACAAATCTTATGCTTCTTTGGTTACATTTATTCTTAAATATTTTATTCTTTTTGATGCTATTAATATTTTAAATGCAATTGTTTTTCTTAAGTTCCTTTTTGGAGTGTTTATAGATAATATATAGAAATAAATGTATTTTCTATGTTGATTTCACATCCTGCAACTTTACTGAATTTGTTTATTAGCTCTGAGAGTTCCTTGTGTGTGTGTAATTATGGTATCTTAACTGCCTTAAAAACTGTGGTTATTTCCACCACTCTTGTTGGCATATATGAATCAAAATATTGGAGCATAGATATTTGCAGTAAAAATTGCCAACATTATTGAATGCTTATATTTGCCACAGATAGTAATCTGGTGGTATAATTTTTACTTCTTTGAAACATGAGAGAGTAGCCAGGCTCAGGTGGGGGTCCTGGTTTGTTTAATCTCTATGAGAAACTGGATTCATGCTTTGTGTGTATTTACACGTACATGTATTGGAAAAGCAGGAGTATAGAAAGATGATTTCTAACTAATAGATATAGGGCATGTACGTATTATTACTTTATATGCTAAGCTTTACAATACCAGTGAATCCTTCTTGACATAAAACTAGAACCTAAAATTACTGTATTTCATTTTTACAAAACCACACAATAGTAATTGAAGTTCATACTATTAACCTTGATCCTATAAAAAATACAACAATAGGCCCAAGGCACGTGCCACATTAATATACAACTATTGTATCATAAACTGAACCTGCAAATATGAGTATTTTAGCTATAACAAACATTAACTGTTTAATTAGTACATCTGCTTTCCCTGCAGGAATTTCGAAGGGCTTGTTAACACATGATATGGGTGATTTGCACTGGTTTACAAGTAATCCCCAGAAATTTGAACTCATTTTTCCTTGATACATTTTTCTCATTTAAAAAGAACTTCACAAGTACCAGTCATTCCACTGGCTGTAGGTCTGTGGATAGGTGATGCCATTCACAAACATCCATAGGTATATTACATTATTTGAAGACCTCATTATACTTGGAGAGGATTCACTTATAAAAGTGAAACGACTCTCATTAGTGAAACACTGGGGGCCTTTTTGAAAGGCAGAAGAGGGTAGTAAAAAGAATTTGCTTCTATGGTAGTGTTTATGGACAAGCTGCATGCATTGCAACTCTCGGGACCTCTCTAAGGAAGAACCTGATGAAACAATCTAATCTTTCTCTCTCCTTTAGCTGATTTCATATGCACCGTCCAGCATCAGCAGTGTGGCAGCCATTAATCATGATTTCTGATTAGAAATGTTTAAGAACACAAGCAAAAGCTGAATGAGTATATAAACTGGGGAGAAATGACACACAGGTAATTTCCAACATATAAGCCAGTTTTGTTACAAAAGCATGCAAATTGAAGAAAATATGGGACCTATTTCAATAGACCGAAAAGAAAAAGGACCAAAACCCAAAACCACTATATAATATAGGCAAGCTCGTAGGCAGTAACATTAGGATCTATTAAACCTAAAATAAAGGGAGAAAAATGCAACATTAATAATATCAGTCTGGGCATGGTTGCTCACACCAGTAATCCCAGAGCTTTGGGAGGCAGAGGCAGGAGGATCGCTTGAGCCCAAGAGTTTGAGACCAGCCTGGGCAACATAGTGAGATCCCCTCTCGAAAAAAAAAAACCTAATAATATTAAACCTTCCAAAAAGTACTTATGGGATTATTTTTTAGAGAAATTCAAATTATGTTTCTGTGAAGATGACCAAGAACCTATCTCCTTCTGCCCAAGTTTTAGCACCGACAGTCAGCCACCGCCACTCTCTTAACAGCACAACAGACCCTAAAGAGGATGCAGTGAAAGGCAGCGTCTGGGTGAGGGATAAGTTTTCGGTGGAAGAAAAGGAAAGCTGAGGTGGAAAAGGCAGAAGTTCAGTTGGAGGCAGATGGGCAGAGAGCAGTTTCTATGACGGGCAAGGAAGCTACTGGGAAAAAAGAAGCTGCATTTACTGGGAGCGCCTATGCCCAGGCACTGTACTAATTTATTCCGTGTTGGAAACCACCTGGAATTTTATGAAGGACCCACAAGTTGCAAGCTAAGTTTTGAGGGCTCTGGCTCCAAAAAAGGATAAAAGAATTGCAAGAGGGCAGAAGAGGTTCTAAACACACACACACACACACACACACACACACACACACACACACACACTCCCTTTTCGTAAACCAATTGGACATGCGAGGTTCCCCTGCGGGCGCGTACCAGACAGCTAAACATCAAAGTGGCAATGGCAAGGAACACCTCCTGCTAACTTGATGAAATCTCAGTTAAACAGGACTTACCT